TTATTTATTCGCTATGTGCCGTTTGCTCCACTTGCGCCCGCAGGCGGTGCCATTGCTCGCGGACCCCAAATCAGCGGCTCCCGCAGCGGCTGTTGCTGCTGTGACCGCTGTTGCTGTTGGGCCGAGTTGCGCTCGCTTTGCAGCGTGTTAAGTCAGATCTCGCCATGTGCACGGCACTTTTGAGGAAGTTTGCGACGCCACTACGTACCACAGCCCCCGTCCCTCCCTCCCTTACACATACACACGCTCATACCCAAACCGCCATTTCCCTCCCCCTCCCCCTCCCCCCTCCCCATCCCCCTCCCCCTCCCCCGCCCTACCCACCCATGACGCCGTCGTGCGGCTCCAGCACATCCCCATTTCCCGAAATGGTGAGGGTGGTGCTGGCGTCAGCCACCAGCAACTCGGCCTGGCAAATAGGGGAAGATGGACATACATACATGCATACTGAGAGATGTGCGCGCCTTGCAATAGCCTTGCAACACAACGTCCCCCAATCAGCAGTGAGTGCGGCCCCGCTACTGATCCGCGTGATAGCGTGGTGGTGGCGATAGCAATAACGACAGTGGAGGGGTTTCATGACGATGATGATGATGATGATGATGATGATGATGATGATCCGCCGGGGGTGACTGAGCGGGCGGTGTTGTGAAGTACCGGGTGGGCGGGTGTGTGTGTGGGGGTCCCCCCTCACCTGCAGAAAGCGCAGGGCCTTATCCTGACGCCACTGCTTGGCGAGCTCCACCGCCGCACGAAGCAGCTGACCTAGGTTGGATGGGCAGGGGAGGGGAGAGGGGGGAATAGGGAAGGGGGAAGGGGGTTGGTGTCATAACGCCACTCATACGCACAAAACACACACACACACACACACACGATGGTGTTGCCAAACGCCTTCTCCTTAATGAGGCCTCGCTATTCGGGTTGCATGTGAATTATGTTCCTGCTCTTTCGGCCCACATCATAATCTTTTTAAACTTTCCCTAACCTACCTCAACCCAACAAACCCCCTTAGGAATCAACTTCGCCACATACCCGGGTGCTCCTCTAGTTTCATTTCCAGCCGCTCCAGGAGGGATAACCCGTCGGCTGCCGTACCTGTGACATAGAGGGTGAGGAAGAGTGTGTGTGTTTGTGTTTGTGTGAGCGTGCGGGAGGGATCTCCAACACCGCCGCCTACAACAGTTGCGGATTCATGTTCCTGGCACGCACCTGCAAAGCCTGCGACCACACCTTCCCCTATCCGCCGGACTTTTCGAACGTTTGGCTTGACGGTGACGGTCCCAACGGATACCTGGCCGTCCCCAATCATGACTACCTGGATACGAAAGGGGTGCGCGCAGGGAAGGCGGCGGGTCCCGGGAAATGCAAGCGAGGGCTCTGTGAGTTTGGAAAAAAGGTAAACGAGGTTTGTAAGGTCACTTACCATATCATCCTTGCGGACACACAGGATTGTCGTTGCGTGCACCTCTGGCCGTTGGAAACTGCACGAAGCGCGTAAGCCATGCGGATTTCCGCAGTGGCTACTCCAGAGCCCAGCCCTGCTTGCACCTGTTTACCGTATTAAAAGTCATACTTGTTGAGAGCTATTTCTCGCACAGTAAAGCATGAAAGGGTGCACGAACTTAGCAAAGGAAGTGCATCTGTCGGACTACCAAAGGCTGCCTGTATGGTGACATACATGCATTCAGCAGCGCTTCGCTGCCCTGAGCAGTTCGCCGCAGCGCCGCGATGCTAGCAAGCATTGTAACGTTTACACCGTAATGTTCGGCAACTACAGAATCCCCAGAATCCCTATGACCCGGTGATCTGGGTCACACTATAACGATGTAAACTGTAAGCACGAAAGCAGTTTCAGTCGTCATGCCGCACGATGAGCATGTTACCTCGCTGAACCAAAACGCCGACAGTTTCCCAACACAGCAGTACGGTGGTGCTGCGAAATCCTTCCGTGCACAAACGAGTCGACGAAAATCAGATAAGGAAATAGATTGCATAGCAGTACAGTTAAAACACTGTTCTTGAGCTGAGGGACGTGAAAGCCTACGAACAACCATGATTGACGAGACGGCTGGCACCGGGCTTTGCCTCTGCCAGCAGGACGCCTACCTGCGTTCATTAACCACAACCGTCGTGAGGTGTGTCTCTTGCCAGAAGGGGTACAGGTACAGTAGATGTCCCAGCACGTGTGCCTCCGTACATGCGAGAGGGACCGCACAAGCTCTGACACTCCCTCCGGAACCCCATTCAACGCTCATTCTTTTGCCTCCCTTGAGGCTTCTCCCTCACACCGATGCCATCAAACCGATGCCATCTCGGCTCGGAGCACAACTACCACTTCCAACCGTCATCAATTGCAACGGTCGCCGATTCAAATCAGACCTGACACCCCAAGCGAAACGGCGTAGTCATCCTCAACCTCAACCCATCCCACACAACCCTGTGGCAACCCAACCCCCTTCTCCCCCCTGGCCCCTCTTGCCCCCAACTCCCGGCCGCAACTACCGACAGATGCTTCCCCGTCGAAACCCCTCCTCCTTCCCGCCACCCGCATCCACCTTTATCTGCGGCCGCTGCCAAAGGTGTCAGAAAAGACAACAAGGCCAAGGGCGGCTCCGCCAAGCCGCCAGGCTGCAGCAGCAACACCCCTCTGGTTGCGGAGGGACCGAAACCCGCGATTGCCGTGACAGCAGATGGTACGGCAACAGGCTCGTCGCCATCACCGCCATTACCGTGCAGTGGTGGGACCCCTGGCCTGGGCCGTTATGAAGTCTACCTGGCTGAGACGCCCATGTTCCCGGAGAGCGGGGGTCAACCCTGCGATATAGGTGCGTGGGCTGGTGGGTGCATTGAGGGATTGAGGGGTACGTGCGGCGGCCGTGGAGCGTGCGGTGGACGAGTTGTGTGTACGTATGTAAGTATGTCTATGTTGTGTGTGCCTATATCTCTGTGCGGTGTGCATGCGTGGTGCTCTGTATGTATGTATGTATGTATGTATGTGACGTGACGTGGGGCCGGTCCGGGTGGGCCGGTCATCATGATGTCTCAACACACAGGCTGAGGACACTACGGCCCTGCAATTCAACACAGCCCTGCGTGACGGAGTTTTCATTTGCCGTACTGAATCGTACGGCACGATGCACTATCGGTAGCATGTACATGTAACATTTTGGCCCTGCAATGTCCGTGTTACGTTGCAGGGCAGCTGTTCGTTGTCCCATCGGCCGATCAGGCTGTGGGGGTCCGGAGCTGGCCTGTGGTGAATGTGGTGGCGGTGATGTGGAAGGAGGTGAGCGAATTGCGGAGGGGTGCGGAGTGGTGAGGAGTGGTGAGGAGGGGTGAGGAGGGGTGCGGAGGGGTGAGGAGGGGAGAGGAGGGGTGAGGAGGGGTGAGGAGGGGTGAGAAGAGGTGAGGAGGGGTAAATTTGCCGATGTGGTACGTTGGGTGTTGTGGTGCACGTGAAGTAGAGCCACGTGAGTATGCTGAGTCAGTTACGTGGGTGTCTCTCCATTCTCTCTCTCTCTCTTTCTCTCTCTTTCTCTCTGTGCGTTGTTGTTGATTGTGATGGTGGTGGTGGTGGTGCTGCCCCCGCCCGGTCGTCCAGGGCGCCCTGTGCCACCTGACGGATGCCTCCCTGGAGCCGGGAACCCGAGTGGAGGTACGGTTGGACTGGCAACGGCGGTACGACCACATGCAGCAACACACCGGTGGGTCAGCGAGGCTGAGTGGCCGCCTGTTTGTCTGTCTGTATGTATGTATGTATCGCGACGTAGCTGCCGGATGGGGTCTCGTCCCCCCCCCCCAAGAACTGAGCCTCCCCCTTTTTCCCCCTCCTCTTGCTTCCATAGCCCCATTCCACCCTGCCACCCTCCATCCCTCTTTCTGCGAATAACGGTCCGCTGGTCGGCAACCCTGCGCCATAGGCGGCAACCCTTCTATCCCATACGCCATCCCGACCTCCTCCATTCTTGCATTTAATCCCATCGCCCCCAAGAGCAGCAATTGGTGCTTTGCTTGTGTCGGCAGTTGATCCCTTTTGCTTGTTGTTTGCATTGTCGTCATATGACTCTCCCCTATGACCTTCCCAAGTCGGTTCTGGCAGATAAGGTAACTTCTGGTAACTTCTTACATATTCCTCTCTGATGCAGTATCTGTCTGTCTATCTTCCTGTGAGGGGATATCCCATCTATCCAGGCTATCGACAGCTTGACTCGTCTGTGGTTCGTCGTGCCCCCCTCCCCCTCCCTCCCCACGTGTTGTTGTGTCCGGCAGGCCAGCACGTGTTCTCTGCGGTGGCTGATTTGTTGCTGGGTGCGGACACCGCCAGCTGGGAGCTGCATCCGCTGGACCCGGAGACCCACGGGTCGGGAGACTATGGATGTGTGGCAGTGGACCTTACTGTGCCACAGCTCTCTGCAGAGCAGGTTCGCCTCTGCCTATACATCTGTATGTCCGTCCGTCCGTCCCTCTGCCTGTCTGTCTGTCTGTCTGTCTGTCCGTCTGCCTACCTGTCGCGCTGTGCTCACTCAGATATCCTGATTTCAGGGCACGGAGGCACAAAGACATGATACGGGGTCCCGGGCGCAGCTTCCCCAACCCCCACCCCAACACAAACTACAGATATACATACTAAACACGAGCTAAAACACCTACACGGCTCCTCTCTTCCCCCCAACAACACACAAACATACGCGAGTGCGCGCGAGTAGTTGTTGGAGTTAGAGGCGCGCGCCAATGCGGAGCTGCGGGCGCTGCGTCCCGTGACCCCCCTGGTGTTGGACCCACGGGTCGCTGCTGACATGGAGCGCATGGAGGTGCTGCAGCGGGATCCCACGTTCCGAGGCCAGCTGCCTCCCGCAGACAAGGTGGGAGGAAGCGAGTGGGGGAACCGAGAGGGGAAAGCAGGAGGAGACGAGAAAGGGAGTTCTCGGGTCCCTGAAGAAGAACCGCCACGGGCGTATTCAGACGTCAAGGCCCGCAATGTGGAGGTGGGGAGGAGGTCAGCTGGAGTTGAGAGGGCTGGGAATCATGGGGAAGGGTTTCCTGGGTATGAACTCCCCCCCCTATTTTGTAGGGGAGAACTCCCCCCCACGTGTAGCTGTGGGCCGCCGTGGGCATTGCCGTGAGCCACAACCTGCGTATAGCCGAAGCCTCCTCCTTCCTCACCACCTCACCGGCGGTTGTGTCTCAATCTGTTCCACCTCGTGATCGTGTGCCCTTCGTCCCGCCTCCTTCGTCCGGCCGCTAAAACGGTGTTGTGGATGTTAGATCAAGGGTGGCAAGGTGCGGCTGGTGCACGTGGAGGGGCTTGACGCGAACGCGTGCGGAGGTGAGGTGAGGTGGGTTGCGATGGGTTTTGGGGAGGTGGGACAGCCAAACAAACCCCTGCGTGTGAGCTTCATCCCATACATGCCAACATGCGCCCTTCCACGTATAACCCTAAATCGCACACACCACCATCACCACCACCACCACCACGACAACACATCGTATCCCCAGCCCATCCCCAACGGCCTCGTTGACGTACGGCGGCAGGCACCCACGTGCGCAGTACGGGTGAAGTACAGGTCCTCAAGGTGGTGGGCGCGGAACGCACCCGGGGGCACACGCGGGTTCGTGTCATGTGCGGCGGACGGGCGCTGGCAGCGCTGGCGGGCTGCCTAACGCGAGAGGCGGCACTCACAGCCAAGCTGACGTGTCCACCGGTGAGGGCTTTAAAAAGTTTTCAAAGTTTTTTAGGGTTTCATTCAAAGAGGATTCAATCAAAAGGAGGTTTTGGATGGGCCTTATCTCTACTGGTGGGGACTTGAAGGGAAAAGAAGGAACGGAAAAGAAGGGTTAAGTAGGCTTAAGTTAGGCTAGGGGAGTGTGAAGGAGAGGGAGGCTGGGATATCCAACGTCGCTGTTTGTTCTTAAACGACGACGCAACGCCATGCGGGTTGCCACAGCCTCGAAACGCGTGTTGCTGTCCGGTACGGCTGCACCACCTTCCCAACTTCCACGTCCCCCGGTGGGGTCCGTGTTCTTGCCTTATGCTCGTATGCCCATCGCCCCCCGCCGCCCTCCAGTCCTAACACCACAAAAGATGTCGGTAACGTAATGGGGGTTTATCCTGGAACCACGGGGTTCCTTGACTTCATCGGCAGCAGTTTCGGGTTTGGACGCCGGCACATGATTTCCCCCCTCCAGTTCAGCGGGTGGTCTCCTGTACTCCGCCCACTCTACCCCCCGCCCGCCCGCCGAAATCACCCTTCTCCCCAGTGGCGACACGCCGACATGGTGGAGCTGCTGCTCAGGTGTGAGTGGGTGTGGATTGGGTAGGTGGGTTGGGTATGAGAGCTGGGCGGGTGAAGGGGGTGGGAGGCAGTGCGGCTGTTGCACATCCCCAGGTGTTAAATGACGGCGGTAGTGGTGGCGATGGCGGGTGGCTTGGCGGCGGCAGTGGAGAGAGGTCGAGCAGCTCCCTCACAGTGGGCGCGACGCGTTCCCCGTCCCAATGAAGGCGCGGCAGTGGGCCCCCAACCTATCGGTGGCCCAATGGGCCCGCGCGCAGCCCACAGGCGCCCTTTCAGCTGACGGCCCCGACACTTCTTGCTGGAAGGATTCGATGATGCCGCTGCCTTGTGGGAGCGCACGCTCCCAAAAAAGCCAAGGACCGTTAACGGTTCCGCTAACCGCCGTATTGCGTTGGCGGTTTTTCGGTTGGCTCCAGGGACCGCCGCGAGGGCGCCAAGGCCCGCAAGCTGCTTGCGGCTGAGCTGGCGGAGCGCCTGGGGCGGGAGCTGGCGCAGGACGGCTTTGCTGCCGCAGCTTCCAGCTCGGAGTCTGCGTCTCTTGGTCTGGGTGCCCCTGACCGCCTGAGCTGGGCCGTCCTGCACCGCCCCGCCAGCGATCTGGACTTCCTATCGCTGGTGGCGGCGGCGGCGCTGGAGGCGGCTTCGGAGATGCAGGTGCTGCTGCTGACCACGGACAACACGGATCCCCAACCTCAGCAGCAACGGCAGCAGCAGGTGGCCTCAGGAGATGGCAAAGGTGCATCAGGAGTGGAGGACAGGTGAACGGTGGAGAAGAGGGAAGGGGGGAGAAAGCAGCGACGTGGTTTGGTTGTGCAAGGAGAATTGATTAATCCTCATGCTGAGGACCCCTCGTCGTTGCTGTCGCCTTTCCTCCCTTGTCCTCTTACACCTCCCGCCATTACCAGTTTACTACTAGTACTGCTACTGCTACTTTTACGCCTCCTATCTTTCCCCCCTTGGGCCCCTCCTGTTCGCGGATGCCCAGTTTGGAGGTGATGTTTCTTGTGGCTGGGCGGCCTGATCTGGTGAAGGTGATAGGGCCGAGAGTGGCAGAGGCGCTTGGGGGACGAGGTGGGGGCCGACCCGGCAGGTAAGAGGAGGGGATAAAGGTGGGTAAAGGCTGGAAAGAGGCTGCGATGGATTGGGGTTCGGGATGCATCGACCATTTCTTAGGAAATGTATATAAAGTTATTTAAAAATTCGTCAGCATAAGAGGTTGGTTTGTTGTTTGGCTGGTGACGTTAAGTTCAACATTTTGAAAAAAATTTGCTACTATGTAGCATATGCCGTAAAGATTGAATCGTTTATCGACTCTACAGGTTGCAATTGTCCATCCGCCTGCAGCTCATAAAGTTTATCAAAGATTTGATAACATTCCTCGCAGGTTCCAGGGCAAAGCGATTGGCTTGTTTCGATTACCGTCGGCTGTCCAGGCATTCAAGGAGGCCGCGTCAGCCGCACAGCCGGCTTGACGTTGCATCAGGAGGACGATAGCCCGCTTAATTCCTGCCTGTTACCTTTTTCAGTGTGCCTGCGAGTATTGGCATATTGTGCAACTTTTGTGGGCGGTTACGTGCGAAGCGGATGGCGTTTCTTTTTTCAACCTAGATCCAGCGTTGCTGTTCAAAACGGTGACTGCCGTACCCGATGCGCCTGTAGCGTTCGCGAACCAGAGGGCTTGCTGTAAGTGACTTTGGGTGCGTCGTTGGCCGTGTAAGGGAGTTATACTTGATTGTTGCGCCTCCTATGTAAGACATCTTTGGCAACAATCAGTCGCCCCAAGCATGTTTCCGTAGGTGCACCTTCCTTATTGAGTGAAATTGCATTTCCTTAAGAACTTTCACACGCATACATATCCTAGATAACCTGTGTACCGACAGTTTTATATAGCGCTTCGACAGCAATCAATAGGGAGAAGAATGCCGAGAATTTGCGTGGCGGCCATTTTCACTCTTTTATTCAATGGATGCTTTTGGTCACTATCTGAGGGGACTCGCAACGGTGCATTTATTGGCTATCATGAAACGCAACGTGAGTTGAGTCATACTTCCTCCATTGTAATTTAGCCCGCTGATAAGCTTTGCTTTTACGTAGGTTCTAAGGCTAAGGAGCAACAAAGGGAGTTCAAAGTCAAGATATCATCATCATTCGGGGAGGCAAGTCCACCACGCCTGCCTGTTCCCTTTTATCAAATTTGGCCTTTTGGGCACGCTTTCGTGCATGAATGCTATTCTTAAGTTGACTTGATGATGTGTAAATGCTTACGAGGCGTCATCGTTTCTACTGCCGCGTTGATGATGAACATAATCCGCTAGACGCGGATTTTGCAGGGTGTGGCGTTGTTGCGGCAAAAAATACACATGTTCAACATTGGTATATTTTTACTGTGCGAAGAGTGCTTTCTGGTTGAGTCATCTGGGTCCTCCGCTCGCCCTACTGCCGCTCCTTCCGTGTCCACGCTTTTCACTATAGAGAAACTGCTATGCATTCATGCAAAAAGACTTGTATAGAGTCACATGTCACGCCAAAACTACCATGTCGCGAGGTTGCTGGTGCTAGGCAAGAGGGCCGGGCGATCTCCGCGATTCTACTACCACGCGCGAACCTTCAACTTGTTTCCTTCTGCTGTTCCGACCATCTCCATATGTACCATCTGCGTGTTCTTGCAGTTCGTCATTAAACTGCGACCAGACCTGGCGCCCGACACATGTCTGCTGGTCTGGGAGCTGGCGCAAAAAGCCAACTGCCCCGGCTGCAATTTCTACCGCCACGAGCCAGTGCCGATGGTGGGTCTAGCGGAAACGGGCGGCCGGTCCCCATCCCGGCCTTTAGGCGCCAGGTGTCTGTTGCCACGCACCCGCGCAGCGGCAGAGACCAGTTTTTGTTTCCCTCCGAGAAATGCCCTGATGGCTGGTCAGGGTAGCGCAGGGCGCTGGAGCACAACAGCGAAGCCATCCTTTCGTAAGGAAAGGAGACTGTGCCACCACCATCCTCCTGCATCGTTGATTCTGGGGCAGGACAGGGACAGTCATTTACGCGGACAGGGACAGCCATTTACGCGGACAGGGACAGTCATTTACGCGGACAGGGACAAAAGAGACACAACAAGGGGTGGAGGCTGGAGGGTGGTGGCCTACAGCGATGCGGCCTTCACGCCAACCCTGGGGGCCCCCTCCCTACTCTCCCCCCCCACTGATTACCCCCCTCACCCCCAACCCACATCTAATCCCTTTCCTCGTCCCTGGTATTCCCACCTCGTCCCGCCGTACACGGAATCTACATCCAGAACTGGGGCCAGGAGGGTTTCTACGGTCCTCCCTACGCCCTGCTTCAGGGGAGTCTGCAGGATCTGGCTCGGCAGCCGCCCTTTGAAAATGCACAGAAATTGCAAGTAAAGTGAGTCGAGTCGCCCATGTGTGGCTTTACATTACCTGAGGTCGCACCACGTGCTGCCTCAAATCATCTAGCCGAGCAGGGAGTCAAAAACCACCAGCCAAACCACCACATCATGCACCACGTCACGCGACGCCGCATCGCGCAAGTAAGCGCCGTCATGTCGCGGTTTTTGAGGGACAGTGTTGGAAAGTGACCGACGCTCGCATAGCAGTGAATGGTAACAGCAGGAATAGGATCCGAGGGGTCCGTGGCGCTTTGTTAAGACTAACAGACAAGGTTTGAAAGTGCGGTTGGGTGGTGCGGTCGGTGAACATTACCAGTGCATTCTGCAACAAAGCAGCAGGTTCCGGAAGTAAGGATGGTGGGTTTGGCCCGGGGACGGGATTTAATTGGGGAGGGCGCTGCCCGGTGCTACTTTCCTGCATTGCCCATCCTGGATCTGCACCTTCCGTTGCACCTCTTACTTCTCCTGCACGTGCGCCACCCGCGCCACCCCCGTACAGCCAACCCTTTCCAGGCTTCAATTTCGCCATTACCCACCGCTCCCACGTCCTTAACCTTATCCCACCCTTCCTGGCCCCTTCCCTTGTTCCCACTCCATCCCATCACTGCACCCACCCTAGGAAGGGCCACGTCTGCATCATCCCCAACTGCAAGGAGTTCTTCATTGCCACCGCGGACCACCCGGAGTGGGGAGCCAGCCACACCATCTTTGGGGAGGTGAGGGCTGCTGGTAGTGACGGCCAGGGGCACGGGTACAGGGACCGAGCCCGATGGGCCCGAGGTGGGGCGAACGCCATGCCCCCCCAGCCCCCCGGCTAGGTCGTAGGGCAGTGATGGGTTTAAATTAAGAGGGAGTCTGTGGGTTGATGGCCACCATCCCCAGGCAACGTGCCTTGTGCTGCTCGGTAGGAGCGGGCGACGGGGCTCGTGAGTGAGGGGGTGTGAGCTTGGAGGTCATATGAGGGTTAGGTGAGGTCGTCTGTGAGAGCTGTATCGTTTGGTTTTTTTTTTGCGACCCTCTTTCGACACCAGCACAAGGCGCGCTGCTGCTGCTCTTGCTACCACTACTATTATTTGTATTGCTGCTGCTCCTGGTGATGCCGCTATATTGGTCATGTCGCTATTCGTCATGCGGCTGCCTAGACTCGTTCTTCCTTGGCCGTCGTTGCGTGTAACGCTGTTGCGCCTGCAGGTGGAGGACCTATCCGCGGAGCCCTCCTACCCCTTTGAGCCCTTCCACACCGCCACAAACAGCGACAAGATCACAACTCGCTGGTTGGACAACGCATACGCCTTCAACCTCACGGCCATTGAGCCCGTGGCCTTGCCAGCGCCGGCGGCCTACACGCACCTACAGCTCCATCAGGGGTTACAGCAGCAGCAGCAACAGCAGCAGAAACAGCAATCAGATGTAAGACAACAGCAGCAGCATTTGCTGTTGGACATTCTGCCTGGTATCAGCCCGGGGGTTCTCCTGGACAGGATGGAAGCCTCATCGTGATGTGGAAATGGATGTACAACTGGTAAAAAGTGCGCTCCTTTTTGACTGAGTGAATGAACGAATAAATAAACGAACGGATTTTATTACTCTGCAGTTGCTACGGGGGGTTAAGGATGGAGTTTGTTTTGTATCCTTTAAACGGGGAAAGATCATAGCGCACATAGCGATGGAATCCCTGCTTGTTCCGCCGACCGTCCTCTGGGCGCGTGCCCAGCTAGTCATGTCTTGCTGGAACGGACTGGTCTGCTGGAATGTCGAGGGCAGCGACTAGCGAGGTGCGTGTGTGTTTTCTTGGCTAAGAAGAAGGGGGGAGTCTCGCCCTGTGGGGTCTGTGGAAGACGGAATGGGGATCTTTGAAAATAGGCGCAAGGAAGCCTCCTAGGGGTAAGGTTTTCAAAGTCGCCTGTGCTTGTATTCCATCATCTGCTGCCTTCGTTCCTTTCCCGAGGTGTCGTGAAGTCGTGATTTGTAGCAGGAGGGCTCGGCAGCAGGGTGTGTGAGGCGAAGACGCCAAGTACGGAAGGGGCCATAGGAAGAGTTGAAGCGGGCGAGAGCAGTGGAGTTGTTGAAGGGGGGAGGAGGAGGAGGAGGAGGGGTGTGGAGGATGAAGTTCCTGGTTTTGGGGGGTGTTGACGATGTGGACCACACGGTCTCGGGGACTGGGGTGGGAGGTTTTGTCCACGTATACGTGCTGTTAACCTGGCTCCAGAAGGCAAGCAGATACGCTGTGGCGTGCCCAGCAGCTGCCCAGATCTTGCCCTTGATTAGCTTGTTGGCGCGCAGAGCGCCCTGCTCTTGGGAAAAGGCTGAGAGGGCGCCTCGCGTGCGAACTTGAGAATTTGGCTGATTGATTCAGGTTTTGGAATTGATGGAGGGCTGGGCCAAGCCTCTCCATCCGCGTATTGAGGGGGGTCTAGGGGATACTGATCGCGCGCCGCCAACTGCGGCCCCGTGAATGCCGTGAATGGGCATATACTTTGGATGGTGATGCGATTACGCGGATTTTGGCGACTCTTGTCGTCCTCCCTATTATCCACGGGATATTATCCACGGGGTGCGCGTGTGCCGTGCTAGGAGACCGAAGTGTGGGGTTCTCTTTCGCCTCGTCTCTTTCGGCTTTTCAGCGACCTATGGGGGTGGCCTAATCCTTTCGTAGTGAAAATTGCTGTCGATGGCGCCCCGCCGCGGAGGAGGAGGGACGATACAGGTGATGGCCCCATGTTGTGTTGATGCGGCCACCTAGTCGACTCAAAAGTTGCTAGTGATAATACTTGTGTGATGGTGGCTTTTTCCTGGAAAGCCAGGTCCTTTGTGCCAACGTAGAAACACGCCTGGGTGCCTGTGTTGAAGAGGAGATGGCCACGTAGGTAGGGGGCGCGAGGCTCATGCGGCCGATGCCCACGGGGTTGAGCCTGGGCAGTGTGGGACTGTGCGGTGTACTACATGTCGCGGGCTTTGCCCAGTGCGAGCGTCTGCTTGTTTCGTCCGTTATCAACGTACTTTTAAAGGGGACCGCCAGACGCTCAATGGCCCCCCTCTCCTTTCTTCTGCCGGTGGAAAATGACCACCGCGGCCGTACATACTGTGAACTATATGAGAGCATCTGGATGCGCGCACATCGCTATTCATTAATTTTTGCGATGAGGGCTCATGGAGCGAAAATAGTATCTGTTTGTCTGGGGGAATTCTCACGATTGACATCAAATGCACGGTGTATGGGTGATGAACGCTACCTTCAAACACGTGTATCCGTGTACGTGTGTGTGTGGGGGGGGACTGTGACTGTGTGTTTTAGGGCCCAAGAGAGAATCCCAATTGGCACACGTACTCATTGTTTCACGGACGCGACGAGGAAGTGTCCCTTTACCGTTGACCGACGGGAAGCCCATGGCAGTGACCAAGGCAGTGATCTGGTCGCACCAGGTCGCACTGTTGTTGTGGGTTGGGGCCGTGGGTGGAGTAAGTAGGAGTGCTGGCCATTATGATGCACAAATGGCCCAATTGTTCCCTTCCTCCCAGCGTGCCCAGCTGTTGGCTGGTTGGCTGCTTTCCCACCATCTTTTGGGGGTTTGTGGCGAGGGGGCTGCATGGGGTGAGCTCTTGGGGTTTCTTTCGTGCGGGCTGTCATGAGGCAGAAGGGGGATCCGCTTCTGGCGAGGCGAGATCTTTGCTCGGAGCGCTTCGTCATTTTAGGTGGTGGACGGAATGCGCAGCCCGCGACCCTTCCCATACAGGTTGGGGCCCCCTGTGATGATGACATCTAAAGGACTTCAATCGTCGTGTTCATCGGTTTGTTTGCGCGATGCTCCTACCAAGAGGGATGCAGTAAGGGTCAATTTTTTGCAGCCTCGGTACCGCGCGGTTGTCGACCGAACGCAGCTCACAAATGTAACTTGACCTTAGGGCCTGGGCCTTTTCCGTCGGACTGCTAGTGCTGTTGCTAGGACAGGTTAAGTGAGGCTGCTTAAAGTTAGGAGTTAGGGGATTTGGAGATGCAGGTAGGCCTCCAGCATTTTAATTGTATTGTATTGTGGTTACAGTATTTCCGCCGCCGACGCGGCGGGTGCCCTCACGAGCCGTGAGGCTCCAGAGCACGCTGTTGACGCTCATCAAAAACCTCAGTAAGGAAAGTAGCGATTTTCCTCGGATTGGTATTAAGAAATACCTTGCGCATATCAGTATCTTCAACGTTAATCAGAAACCTATTACGCAACTCAGTATACGCCTCACACTCCATGAGCACATGGTATTCATCCTCAACCTTACCCGACGTACAGACCTGACACGTACGGCACTCTCTCGGCCTATGGTGTCCTTTGTTGACCTCCAAAGGCCAACAACAAAGACGGAATTTGGCAACCATACGCAACTGGTTGGCCGGCAAATAAACACGCAAATAGCCTGTGGGATCGGAGCCCTCTCTTGCTGGTGAAGGGGAGCCCATCCAGTTATGATACCTGCAAAGCGAAACCCCTTTACCTTGGAACACACGCGGATCACCCCCTTGGCTGAACTGATCCCAGTCACTTAAAAGGAACGCAGATAACCTCTCCAGAACCTCACCCACTCGAATCAACTGAGACGAGTATACATCTACCTTCTGAGAAACGGAGTCACACGCCGGCCACTCATGGCCCAACCAACGCAAAATGATGAGCACTTTAGACGACCAGCAATCCACTTGAGATCAGACAGAAGAGCCAGACGGAGATCA